TATGAAGAAATTCTAACTAATGTCCAACCTAAATCTCCCCTGGTACAGCTTATGTCCTCTCATCCTATCGTTAGTTGCCTGGGAGAAGAGGCCAACCGCTGCCTGGCTAGCAAGATAATAACATAAGTAATTTCATATACTTGGGTGCAGAGTCGCACCACTTCTGGAGACTTGGCTCCCATATGTCTCCTGTATGGGCTAAGCAAAGGCAAAATTTTACAAACTGGGTACAAGGGTAGGATGCAACAGTAGGTTTGAGCAAAGGCCTGTCTCCAAGATTAAATTTTTTCCTCCACATCTCCTTCCTACAGCATATTGTAACTGTTCTGAGTACTCTGCACTTGCTACTTTTGCAGAAGATTAAGGCATTCAGGACCCGGCCTAAGCGCTGCTGGAAGTTTTCCAGATTGTTGCGGTCTAGTTGCAGTTTCCTGTGTTTGTACCTTCTTAAGGCTGGGCAAATAGGCAAACAGCTATAGCACTTGACCTTGAGGGTATACATATCCACCTGTCCACCTATCAAATGCCTGATATCTCTACGGGAAGACTGCCTCCCTTCATTGTAGTCTTCCTGTTTCAATCCTCCAAGAAGCTTTTCCGTGTTCTTCCACTGTCAATACAGACGGTATAAAGTTTACAGGTGACCTTTTCAGTGCATTCAGCGATTTTTCTCATTGCACCTGGCATCAGATACTCTTGAAGTTCTTCTCTTATATCTTCAGAACATCTGAATGTAGCTTTTCTGTCATAGCTACTACTCATCTTCATTTTAAGAAGTCATGCAGGCTTCTTTACATTATTGAAATCTGTAACTGAAATCACTGTGTAGATATTGTCATTGAGACAGGATTAGGCATGAGACATAAAAAAGACAAAGCGAATTTTGCCATTGAGCCATTTAACCATTAATTCAAAGCTTCATCTCGTTTTGTCTGTCCATGTTGCTGATCTATACCCAATCTTTTTTAACAACACAGCTGACTGCTAACCAGATGTGTTTGCACAACAGCCAAGGTAGACTGTGCTTACTGGAGTCCTCCACATGTTTTAGCATCAACACTAGCAATTGTATAATCCACCTTCCAACACAGTTGAGCAAGAAAAGCAAGGCAGAATTCCAAGAAAGCAACAAACCCAGTCAAGTGGCAGAAGGGCTGCCTGCAGCCCCCTGTGCTGTGGAGACAAGCAGCTTGCATGGCCATGTCTTTTAGCTGAACTATCAGTGTGGTTTCACTGTACTGTGGTGACTTTTAGAATTTATGCTGATGTAAATCAACTGCTTTAGTTGAATAAGAATTATTGTTAGATTTATTTAACAAAATAACATAAACAAATACTTGGAACCCACATGCTGGGAGACAGCAAAGAAAGTGGCAGCGAACCTCTGAAAAAGCAAGTTGGCACCACTGCCCAGGCAGGAATGGCACAAAACACCAAGATCTCCATGGATACTACAGTAATAGAGGAAAGAAGAACAAAACAGAGATTCAGATCAATTTTAATAGAGACAAAATGCTGAAGTTTGGCAGCCCTGCTAGAGACAAAATAAAATGGTAGAGCTCCAGGAAGAAAGGAAGAAAACCCCATTTGTCAAGATTACTCCTGAAGATTACCAGGATTCCTGATTGCTAACTGTTGATTTAAAAGCAGTTGTTCAGAGTGTTCTTTGGGGGCAAGAGGGAGCAGACAATCAAGATGGAAGGCAGCTGAAAAAAAATCAAAGCAAGCATACATGAAGTCCTGCAAAAGAGAGGCTAAATTATCAAGAACATCTGAAAAGGGATGTATTATATTAATAAAGTTTAACTGACCTGAGTTTAACTGACCTGAAAAGTTAAAATGCCAAAATACCAAAAATTAAATCTTTATCCTATGACAAATCATGAGAAAATATAATGAAAATTACACAATATTGAATTAGAAACTTCTGATATCTGAAAAGTTGTTTAAGAATGCTACATTAAATACCAAAGAAAGTGACAGCTTTTTCAGCTGAACTCATGGTTAAGAAGGTAAAAATCTCAACAGTAAATGTGGCCACCAGTTAGGAAACAAAGAGTTAATAGCAAAGAATAACGCAGCAATTATGAATCTGCAGTTGCTATAGCAAGATTTTAAAATGGTGTATATGAAAAAGAATTGTTCAAAAGACCACAAAAAGACTGTTTAACTATGACGGGAGCAACAAAGGTCAATTGCCTAGATGTCAGAGCAGGTAGAATTATAAATACCATCAGGGAAAAAAGTGAAAGTTTACATGCTGCACTCGGAAGAAAATAGGATGAGACACTGCAAACAGGATGAGACACTGCTCTCTTCGTACGTCTGGGTTTTGTTTTGTTTTAACCTAGGCGTTTCCAAGCACCGCCGCGGCTGGGGGGGGCGGGGGAAAGCGGCCACGCTCAGGACGCAGGGAGCGCGGGCAGAGCTGGAATCCCCCAGCCTCGCCGGATAAAACGTCCGGGAGAAGAGGAACGCCCACCCCGGCCCCGTGGGCACCGGTGCTCCGAGCCCGCCGCTCGGCCCGGCAGCCGGGGGTGGGACGCGGAAGTGCCGCTGCCGGCGGTGCTGCCCGCGGGAGGGCGGGAGCCGGGAGCGCTCTCCGGGGGCGGGCACGGTGGCGGCGCGGCGGGCGATGCTGGGGCTGGCGGCGGGGCTGCTGGCGGCGGCCGCCGTGGCGCTGCTGCTGGACTGGTACGGGCCGTCGGGGGCGCCGCCGGCCGCGGGGCAGCGCCGCCGCTGGGCCCCGCATCCCGCCCCCGGCGCGACGGCCGCCGGCCTGCTCTGGGTCGTGCAGGTGAGTGGGGCCGGGCGGGGGCGACGGGCGGCCGCCGAGCTGGGGGCAGAGCGGGTACACCGGAGTTATGGGTGTTGTGCCAGGCTGCCTGGAAGATAATGGAATACCTTCAGTGCCGGTAGCTCGGTGTGCAGCTTCAGTTGAGCTGCAGGTTGAAGCTCTGGGGAGCGGGAGCCCGAGGCAAGAGGTCGTGACCTGGCGATCCTTTGCATGACAAAGGACGCGGGGACTTGTGACCCGTCCAGGTGACCGGACAGTCAGAGACACGGCAGGAGCCGATGGCCCCCAGCCTTCCCCCCTTAGACTGTGAGGGTATAAAAGCCCATGGGTTCCTTTTTTCGGAGTCCCTCCTCGGAGGCACCAGCTCGAGCTGTTATTTTGTTCTTAAGTAATTGCACCACGATTAAATTATTTTAAGGATCTAAACTTCTGAGACTCTTGTTATGGGAAACCTGGGGTTGAGCCGGTAAGGAAACCTGGTCTGACTGTGAGAGGAGTATGGTGTGTAGCTGTGAAAGGACTTCGGTCCCAGCTCACGTGGTGTGAGAGAGATTGCCAGAGTGCTCCTGGATGGTCGGACAGGGAAGTTTCCTCAACAGATAAGGTGGAAGCAATAATTAGAAATCACCTAATTGTTACACTATATATTGCATCAGTACCTGATGCGGTATTGTCTAATATACCGGTGAGAAGTGCAGGCTCTGCCTGTCCCTTTCCCCTTCCAGAACTCAGAAAAGTTGTGTAGCTGAGAAAATAGTTAGACCGATTTTTAGCAATAGAATGTACTGCGCTAGTATTCAGAAGGTTAAATGTACCTTTGTTTCCAGGTTAAACATAAAATCCAAGTTAACCTGACATAGCCCTGGAAGCAAATTGTCATGTCTGAGTGCTTCTGTGGCCTTCTCTGACTCTTGTCCCCAGAGCGTTCTGGAGCACTTAGTGTAGCACAAACCGCAAAGCTTTTTACATATTTGCAGTTAATTAACACCTGAGTTGTCACGAGGGTTGCTGTGCATTTCCTTCGACCAAATAAGCTGCTTTTACTGTTTTGTTTTTATTCTCAAACTCAGGAACACTTTGTCTAAATGTATTAACTGCAGTCGGTGTTCTTAGTGCATGAGCTGATGCATTATTAGCCCTTTTGTTCTCTCCAATTGCTGTGTATTTTCAAAGTAATTTTTTTCAGTAATTTTTCCTTAAGTGACTTAAGGCTTATTTTTATTGAAGAGTCGATTTCAAGACAAGATGTATGCTTGAATTAATGTAAGTAAAGCCCCTATCTTGAGTTGGTATCTTGTGAAGAGTCAACTACAGCAGCATATAGCAGCTGCAGAGCTATAGTGATAGGCAGCATGTACAGCTCCATGCTTCTCTTGCCATGTTTTCTCTGGTTGTGTTACTTTAAGTGCAGTTCTCCCAAGGATAGGTCACAGCACAGATAATTTAAGACTTGGCTTTACTTTCAAGTGGTTATATTCTCTTTCAGGCATGCCCTTTAACAGCTGCTTTATCGTTGACCTAACTTGGAAATTAATCAAGCACTAAATCCGGAGTTGTGCCTGATGATCTTGTGGGAAACAGGCTTCAGGCTCCCTGGTGACTCCATAGGTCTAGCCTAGGTCACTGGATAGAGGCCAAGATGATCCTGTAGTTCCTTGCCTTGTTTTTCCTCCCATCCACAGGACTGTCTTTTCTTAAACTGATCTAAATTTAATCTTTGTACGGCAATCTTCTACTAATTGCTCTTCTTACCTTTCTTATATCAGGATTTCCTTTCTTACCCAGTGCCGAGCAGACACTCTAGTTCAGTATTTGACAAGCTTACAATTATTTCTCCTGTTTCTCTCAGGTAGATTCATTCTACTGTTGTTCTAGACCTTATAATTCTTTGTTAATGCCTGCCTGTCCTGAACCACATCTTTGCTACATAAGGAATGTTGATGGTGATTTCTCCTCACCCCTAAATCTCTTCCAGTCCATTTTGATGAAAGTTACTGCCTATGGTGCAATGAGAGAGGCTAAGTAACCATATCAGTCAGAGGGAGGAGAAAGACAGAAGTGCAGCAAGTGGGCTTTTGCCTACATTTTAGAAAATTAAATAAGAGCATTACAAGTTTTTCACCTTTCCCACTGTCTTCCATTTTATTATGGTATCTTTGGAAGTTAATTTAAAAAAAACCAAACAAACAAATGAAAAAAAAAACAAACAAAAAACAACCCACTCCTCCCCCAAGATCTTGATATTTCAGGGATTTTAGTGATGAGAGAAACTTAGTCCCAGCTCTCAGAATTCCCAGCAGGACACTGTAACTCTTAGAACTTAAAAGTTAAGCCTTTTTTAAATTTTAAACTCATATCACAGTGGGAAGCTCTTTGTAGAAAATCAAGCTTCCCAACCATGCTCTGCTGTAAGGTTGGAAATTTACATTCTCTGTAGTTACTGGTGGAGCAGGAGTAAAGTTTCTTGTAAGACTTCTTTTTTTCTGTGAGAATAAAAGGTATAGAAGTTTTTATTTTCTCTATTTGATTGCTGAGATAGATGAATTGCAAATCCACCGACTGAAGAGGAGTGAAACAAGATGCTGTATCCTTGTCAGTGATTAAATGAGGTTTGATGTACTGAGGCAGTTTTACTGTGCTCTTTGATTCACACTAGCTTGAATGTACCAATAGAAGTGAATATAAGGTTATGTCTAAAAGTGTTTACCTTTTTTGGTATCCAGTTCTGATCTAGGTAGAAGTTCCATGTAGTTCCAAAAGGGGGATTTTCCTAAGCAGAATTAAAAAGTAATATTTTCTACATATGCAGATGACCGAATAAGTAGAAGTAAGGCATTTTGTCTCTCAGGTATTTTATCTGAACTTTTAAAAAAAGTAAAGGCTTTACAAGAACAGGTTTATTACACTGAACGTAAAAGGTAGTGTTTTTCTTTCCAAGTGATATTGTCAGATAAGCATGGGCATGTGCTTCTTGAGCATCAAATACCATTTGTTTAAACAAAGGATGACAATTTATTGGTTGATTGACTGAAGTGGAATGGAACGTGGAATTGAAAGCATTCACCCAACATTTTTTTATATATTGTGGCTTTTCAAGGCTGTACAAAATAAAATCTTATTTGTCTAATTTTTCCCATCCTGCCCCAAATGCTTCTTCTAATGTGAAACTTTGAGTGGTTCAGAAACAAACAGCAACTTTTACTGTTATGTACAATTCATATCAAGATTTCATGGGCAATCTTTGCCTTCTTGAAGGCACATGGAGTGGGATCGAAACACATTAATTAGATCAATTAAAAAGCATGGAGAGAATGTTAACAATCCTTCCACTCAGGTACTGGAAGTGTCACATCAGGTACAAAATAAGTTATTGGTGTATTTCAAGTTCTAGGTAAAATTAAACTATTCTTGCTTTGCAGAACTATTTTGTATTCTCACTTGCAGCAAAACCACTCTGTTGCACCAGACACTCACAGAATTTGAAAGGCAGCAGGCCACTTACAGTCATCACAACTTACTGAGGATAGCTAAGTATTTCCCCATATTATTGTATGCCCTTAGTTTTAAGGAAATTTTTTGATGTAAATGTGATTTAGGGGTTAGAGCTGCAATATGATATGCTTGTTCTGCTTTTGTTCTCCCCTAGCCATCCACTTCTTGTGCCTCCCTGTATCCCTGATAGGAATCGCTATGATTGCCCTGATCTTGCATTCTTATGTTGGCTTTGCAGAACAATCTGGGTAGCAATAACCCTCTGCTTTGGACAGTGTTTCATTCTTCGCTTTTGCAGGTGTCAGATATTCATATCAGCATATTTCGGGATCCCAAACGAGCTCCCGACTTTGAAAAATTCTGTTCTGAAACACTTGACGTAATTCAGCCAGCACTTGTTCTAGCAACAGGTAAGCAATTCAAAAGTGTGAATTTCCTGTTGAGTGTGCTGTCAGAGGAAGAGCAAATAAGCAACATTTTAGGATCTCAAGAGAGAACTTTAAAGTGTTAAGGTGTCTTAAGCAATGAAAATGAAATTGCAGCTGAAAATAGACTGCTAGAAGGAGAAAAGAATAACAACTTAAGAGAATTAGTTTCTGTTTAGTGTCCTGAGTCTTGATAGTGAGTTTAGTGTGTTTTATATGTAACAGACACAGTTATGCAGGATAGCTGTTGTTTTCCTAATATTTGTTGCTACACCTTAGTCCTTGCTAGCAGCTACCTTCCTTCTTGTCCTGCTATTACTGTGTGAACAGAAGTGGGAATGGTTCAAACTTTAATTGGAGCTTGAGGTGATACAGAAACTGTGAAAGTAAATGAAGCTCTTATGAACTAGAATCTTCAGACAGAGTGAATGCCTAACAGTTTGCTTTGTTTTGGCATGGCATTAGTGAAAGTGTTGCAGTGATGTGGTCAGCAGATGTCCGATGAGGCTGCTGCATCTACATTAGAAGGCATTTACCCTTATGGTAACCTCTTGGATCAGATACAGGAACATCCAGACTGTACTCAGGAGGATGCAGCCTTCTACACTCGGAGGCAGGGATGCATGTCTAGTTACAGCAGTTGTATGAGCTGTGTAGGCCTCTAGTTATAATCTCACCTTTGTACACCTCCAGGTGACCTGACGGATGCTAAGACAAGAGATAAACTGGGGTCTGAGCAGGTAGAAGAAGAGTGGAAAACTTACCAGTCAATTCTGAAGAGATCAAGAGTCATGGAAAAAACCAAGTGGATAGACATCAAAGGGAATCATGGTAAGAAGGCAATGAAACATCTGTCCTTCCTGTGATTGCAGATCACAGAATACAGAGGTAAAGTGTTAGTAGTCACTAGTATGCTAGTGGTAATTATGAATCGCGAAGGCCTTGCCATCCACGTCTACTGAGGGCACACTTTGTTTACAGGCACTTACTTGAGTTTTACTACCAGAGAAGTAAATCCTTTTCCTGGCAAGTGGTAGAACATACCTTCAGATGTTAGTTTCCAGGTCATTAGTTTATATACCACATCATTTAATGGAGGGGCAAAATGTAATCTCACCCTATTGAAGAAATTGTTTCAATTTACTTTTCATAGATTTCTCCCCTCCCTGGCCCCCAGGTTTAAGTTAAAAAGGTAGCAATAACACTCCAGCAGGTCCAGCAGGTAAAGAAAACTTGGGTTCTTTTGAATAGAAAGGACTCATGGCAGTTTGTACACATCACAGTTGCCACATTTTAATAATTCAAACTCAAGTTAAGGACCTTGTAGGCTATTAAACCAGCTGTTACAGGAAGGGCAGAAAAAGAAAGGCTAGCACTGGTGGGGGGCAGGGAGGGGAAATGCATTTGTCACATATACCCATTTCCCTGTCAGGCTTCTGTTAGCAGCCTTAGTGGAGAGGCGGAACCCAGCTGAAGTACAAACCTCCCCGGTTGCTCTCTGATTTATACACACTATGCTCTGATGCTGTTGCTGCTTCATTTTTTGTGAATGAGTTAGGCCTTACTTATAGAGAATTTACCCAAACCAAAAAGCTTCTGAAAAGCTCTGTGGTCAAAGTGGAGAGAGGTTTAGCTGTTAGCCACTAAATAACAATTTACATTCCCACAACAACTTTATCTTTGAATTGAAACTTAAATGAGAAAACTATTGCCACTTTTAGCTCAACTGCATCAAGTGTGTAATGCCTTCTCTGCAGTTAGACACTCTGCTTGTCCATTATGCATTAAAAAAAAAAATAGTTCTTCAGCACCTGCTGAATTCATTGTATTTCAATACTACTAAGTTAAATACAGGGGTCAATGTTTCCTCATTTCCTTTCTCTCTGCCTTACAGATTCATTCAACATTCCACACCTGAATAGCGTTCAGAATTATTACAGGTACTTTTATTTACCATACAGATGCCATTATATTCAAGGTCAAACTCACTAAACAGTATTCCGCTTTCAGTTATCACAGTTTTTCACTGACTTTCCTATAGTCCAGGATCATGTCTGCTATTCCCTCTGTCTTTTGCATTGTCAGTTAGTAGAGCAGAATAGATTGATAAAATAGAGATTCTTCTCTTATCTCTTATCCTTCTGTGTTTGACACTGAATGGGTTAAATCTGTTCATGTCTATAAAACGTTCTGTGCATTGTATTCAGTTTCCTCAGAAAAGTTGTGTGATATATTTTTGTAAAAGGTGTTCCCAGAGAATGCTTTTCCTACTTAAAATAGGTGAAAAAAAAAGCAAGATAAAACTTCTCTTTTTTTAATGTTCTTTCTGTATGCTGCCTATCCTTTATCCATAGAAAAGTACTGTGTTGCTCAGGGAAAGCATATTTGTGCTAAAATTTTCTTAAATGTTTGTGTGCTAACTTGCTGCTTGTCTTAACATGTAACCCATGCAATGCATCTTCTTTGAAGTACAGATTATTCAATGCCATTGACTTTTAAGAAGAGGCTACTGCAGTAACAAGAAGGAGCTAGATCTAATGCTTGCAAGGAATCTTGCCTTTATACTATGCAGGTCACTGTTGTCATTGCTACAAGCTTTCCTAACAGCAATATTTCCACTTTCTTTTGTTAGGAAATACTCTGCCTGGCGTAAAGATGGCTCCTTCCATTATATCCACACTACCTCTTTTGGGAACTATTCATTCATCTGCGTGGATGCCACACTCAGCCCAGGCCCTAAGAGACCCTATAATTTCTTTGGGATTTTAAACACAGTATTGTATAAGTCTTGACATTCCATTTTGCTGGCTATTTTACTTCTGTAGTGGTTTGTTTGAAATTTTTATTTGTTTCTACGTAGAAGAATTGTTTTGAATATGTATGTTTGCCAAAAAGAGTGTTTACATTTTTAAATTATTATGAATGTGGGACATTTATTTAGAAAAATTAGATTTTGAGAGCTTACTGGTATTGGGAGGCTCTCTGGACATTAAGTGGTTGATTTAATATTGGAATTCAAACACGTAGGAGAGAAATTTTACCTCCTATGTAAAGTGTTACTTTTGCTTAACTTGAACAGCAATGGCTGAGTAATATTTTTAAGATTCAGCATCTGAGTTTATTTAGTTAAATGACTGAAGCATGTGGTGCACAGGTTGTGTGGTCTGTCATGCCTGTAAGAGGATATCTAGCAACTCAAGAAATAGTAAGGATGATAATTGTAAGTTAAAGATGTTTATAAAATTAACTCTTTTGCTATATAAATAAGCAGTAGAAAGGATAGGAATATTGTTTACCAACATCTTTCTTTAAATTTCATTTTTCCTGTGTTAGATTGCAAAGAAGGCATTGAGTGTCTGGTTTTCATTTTCTTTTCCAACATCAGATTTTAGGGTTACATCTAGTGGTGTAGTGGTTCACACACAGGTCCCTGAAGCAACTCAGCTGAGGGTATTCTCTGTAATGGAAAAAAAAAGGAGAGAGAGATTAATTGCATTCTTCATTAGTTTCTTTCTGCTTGCCTTTTGCTATTCTTTCACAATAGCCTGAATGTTAAACAGATTTGTTTGGTTGTCTTTAAAATACCTGTCCATTTCAGAATCAAATGGCAGAGCTGTCTTTGATGGCAACAGAAGGTCTGCACAGCAACCATACTATCTGGTTTGGCCATTATCCCACCTCAACAATCATCTCCCCAGCCCCAGGAATACGAACATTAATGAGGTAAAGTCTTTTTATCCCTTGTGTTTTCAATCTGAAGTACATTTCTTGCCTCACTTAACATGCTTCTCTCTCACTTCTCAGGTTTTCTGTGGTGATATTTCCTTCCCACCCAAATAATCACAATTCTTTTATTAGTTCTGCCACAGCCTATTTATGTGGACATCTCCATACAATGGGGGGGCTCATGCCAGTGTTGCACAGTCAGCACCGTGGTGGCACTCTGGAACTCGAACTGGGAGACTGGATGGACAATAGAAGGTAAGTAAAGCCTATGTGAGTAAATTATTATATGAAGCCCACTAGGCTATATTGTGATTCCCTCCTACACTGTCTGGTGGATTTGAAAGGAGCATGAGATCAGCCTGACTGGTTATTACTATTGATGCTTTTGAAAAATGTCTTTGTGTGTAAGTTTGGGATTTTTCCCCATACCAACAGTGTGCTAATAATGTACATAATTTTTTATTAATTCTTGGTATATAGAGGTTAAAAAGGGGACATCTAAATGTCCATTTAGTATGTGTTATGTTCAAATGTATATTCAAAAATATATTCCAATGTAGATCAATAAATTGTAACAAAATTCAGCATCACTTCTTCAAAATACCCGTGCTCTGCACTAGCTGTTAGAATTCTAGATGCATAAGTAGTCTACCTGAGAAATGTTATCTTAGCAGCATATCATAACACATCTGATGCTACATGGACTATATAGTAGTATATTAGCTTTTATTCTGCAGTAATCCAAAGAAAGATATTGTATGCATACAGGAAAAGGATACAGTGGGGTCTTGGTCCCTAACTAGAGTACCTGCACAGACACTGTAGTAATGTATATTATATTTGAGTTATTTAACCTAATATTCGTCTATCTGATTCATGTGAAAATTCCATAGATCTTGACACTTGGAATTTTGAATACTGCTTCCGTGATTTATAATAAAAGGATCTAATCAGAGGTGACCAGCTGCACAGCAGAGTTGGTTAATACAGAATCAACTACAGAACAGAATAAATGGAAAATAAATCAAGGAAGTTCAGTTTAGGAACTTGAGAAGCATGGGAATGAGCTGTGCAATGCTCATTTGTTTGTATTAACAAATTTTTTTCCTTTCATTATAGGTACCGGATCCTTGCGTTCGACCACGACCTCCTTAGTTTTGCAGATCTTAACTTTGAAGAGTGGCCTGCAGTTCTCATCACCAATCCCAAGTCCTTGCTTTACAGCAGTTCTACTCATGAACCACTAGTCAGAATTCTTCATTCCACTCATATCAGGTACCCTGTAGTCTCTTGATTTCACAATATTTAACTACATGTATACATATATGCAAAAAGCTTTCTTTTAAATGTGTGTCCACTGTCCTCAGAATTCACTTTTCTCTGTACGATCGTTCCTGAGAACTTCCTTCATACCACATATGGGAAAAAGGAATTGTGTAGATGTTTATTTATGCACTTATTTCCTCTCAAGTCAATTGAACTTTTTTTATGTAACCAAACCTGATAGAGTTAGATTAATGTGTAATCTGTGTTATTTATATCATGTGTTCATGTTGTCTCTGCCAATTTCAGGATTTTGTCTGTGTATTTTTCTAAGTGTTTTCTCTATTCACTTCAGACTTCTTAGCCTCTTGTGTTTTCAGTGCTTCTGATTTTCCAATTTTCATATTGGTTTTAAATCTACATCTTTCAATTTCGACCTCTTCTATTTAATTTTTTCATTTATATGTCAAATTTCTAAGCCCTTTTCAACATTTTGTATTTGCTGTCAGACCAATACACTTGAAGTATTACATACACAGAATTACAATCAAAAGAAGTTTCATACTTTTAATTTAAGAAGTAGTGTCCAGTAAGTGTCTTTCTTTCCAGTTTCCTATTCAGAACCTTCTCTGGAACATTCTTATGATTATATTAAATACATGAACTGGTAGAATAGTTCACCATAACTATATGAGACTCCTTTATTTGACTAAAACTGGAATGCCTTTTGTATTACCAGAAATGAAAGGAATTATATGTGTAATAATTTGAGTCTACATTAGCATGACCGATTCTCTGAATATAAGCACTGCCAAGTGATAATACATCTTTTGGTGTCTGAGATCTGTAATACCAGCCTTGCGTTCCACTCCATGTCTCATAAGTGCAGTTACAAAGACTGAGAAGTTACATTCTGACTAGCAAAGAGAAAAAAAGAAAAAACCCACACCAAACAACAAAGGACTTCAGAGAGAGAGAGACTGGCAATTTTTAATGAAGAAATCTTTAAGTGTTTGATTGTGTCTGTATGTGCTGGAGGATGCATCCCACTTTTGTTAGCAAATGTTTTGACAGCAAGCGTTCTAAGATTATTTCTGCCAGGACCTTATGATCTCTGCCACTTTTTTGTGTGTTCCACAGCCAGTTTTGTATCCTGTTCTTTTGTGCAGTGCCATACAGAACTACATTTTTTAACTGTAGGAAAGAGCTACTGCCATGTTACCATTAGCCTACCGTTTTAATTTCTAATGATAATTTCTACGATATTTCACCATTCTAATTTCTAAATCTTTTGAACTCTTTAGTACAAGGTACTAAATCTTCAGGGACTTCTCCTAAGGAAGCAATGAGAAGTATGCAAGTCCTGTAACAAACCTGTTTATTTTGCTCTTTATTTGCTCCTTAGAATTCTGGCATTCTCTCCTTCTGTCATTGTCTCCGTCAAAGTCTCCATAGACAGAGTTCACTTGGGGAATGCACATCAGGTGTCTGGTCCTCTCTATGTGCTGAAGTGGAGCCCACAGAACTACAGTGAAGGCTTCCATCGCATAGATGTGACTGTCCAGGTAAGGTTGGCATTCTTTGTATTTAATCTTTTTGTTGTTGTTGTTGTGGCTTCTCCATCACCCTTCTATGTCACATAACGAGGAACAAAATACATAACAGATTTCCTTTCACGTTTGCCTGATTACAAAAACATGACAGAAGAGCAAGCTTGAATTGAAATTGGCCAGAGATGTCAAAAATACAGGAGAGAGTTCTTGAAGTACATAACAAGGAGAAAAGGAAAGGAAGGAAAATACCGGCCTGCTGTTACACAGCAGAGGTAGATTAGTCACCAACAACGTGGCAGAGGTTCTCAACACTTTCTTCACCTCTGTGTTTACCAGCAGTGTTGGGCCTCAGGCCTTGGAAACAAGGGTCCAGGTTGATGCAAACACAGACCAGTGAAGGAAAAGTTAGTGTGTGAACTGTTACAGGAGCTTGACCCTACAAATTGATGGGCCCTGACAGTTTCCACCCAAGAGTGTTAAGAGACCTGGCTGACATTGTGAGGCTGCTCTCCGTAGTCTGGGAGAGGTCATGGGGACCAGAGGACATCCCAGAAGACTAGAACAAGGCTAATGTCACCCCCATCTATAAGAAGGGCTTAAAGGAGGATCCAGGAAATTTTAGGCCCATCAGTCTTACATCAGTCCCTGGGGAAGTTATGGAGCAAATCCTTGTGGGAGGCTATCACAAGTCAGATGAAGCACATGAGAGGGAAAAGCCAACACAGATTCACCAAGGGCAAATTGTGTGCCAATAAGAACATTCTGAAGTTCAACAAGGATAAGTGTAAGAACTTGCACCTGAGAAAAAGTAATACAGGGTTGCAGCACAGGCTGGGATTTACCTGGCTGGGGAGCAGCTCTGGAAAAGGACCTGGCAGTTGTGGTGGACGAGCTCAATGTGAGTGAACAGAGTGCTTGTGCAGCAGAGAAAGCCAATGGGATGCTGGGATGCATCAACCAAGGCATCACCAGCAGAGATAAAGAAGTCAGTGTCCCGCTCTACTGAGTGCTTGTCAGGCCACACCTGGAACACCATGCTGACTTTTGGTCCCTGCTGTGACAGGCTGGAGAGGGTCCAGAGAAGGGCCAGAAAGATGATATAAGGAGCGGGAAGCTGCCATGTGAGGAAGGGCTCAGAGAGCTGGCTTTGTTTAGCCTTGAGAAAAGAAGGGTTAGAGGAGACCTTATCACCATGTTCCAGTATTTAAAGGGTGGATACAAAGAAGATGGAGAATCCCTTTTTACAAGGAGTCGCATGGAAAAGATGAGGGGTGCAAATTACTCCTGGGGAGATTCTGAGTGGGCACAAGAGGAAAATTTTTCAGAATGCAAACCATCAGCCATTGGAATAATCTCTCCAGGGAAATGGCAGATTCTTCAAAATGGGGCACTTCTAAGATTCATCTGGACAGGGTGCTGGGCCATCTTGTCTATACCATACTTCTGTCTGGAAAGCTTGGACCAGATGATCCTTGAGGTCCCTTCCAACCTGGTATTTCATGATTCAAGTAATTGATCAAAACTAAATTTTTAGTAATGGGCAATAATTAACTTTTATGGTTGTCTTGGGAAAAAAAATAATTGAGCTTGATCAAAGAAAATATGAAGTGGCATCATGGTAGCTCAGAAGTCAAAAGAGGGAGAGAAAAGTGGTGTTTAGAATTTGAGTTTATTTCTCTTTTTTTCTACTCTGGTTGGTAATGAATTAAGCTGGTTTCTGCAATTAGAGTCTGTTTTGCCCATGATGGCAGTGGCTGAGTGATCTCTCCTCATCCTGATCTCGACCCATGAGCCTTTCATTAAGTTTTTCTCCCTTGCCCAGCTGAGGAAGGGGATTTAGGGAGCAGCTTTGGTAGGCACCCGGCATCCAGCCAGGGTCAACCCACCACAGATGTCAGTTACACGTGCAGAAATATCAAACTGTTGAATAAACGAAACACTGTTATTGTTTATCAATACCAGTTTGTGGCAAATACACCAGAAACAAAGCACAATGAAGCTTCAAAATATTTTAATATGGGCTATTACCTAGAATGGAACGTTGAGAAAAAAATTGGTGGTGGGACCAGTAAACAGTCTGTCTTCCACAAGTTGCTGAATCTCTGACAAGTTCTCCTTCATATGTAGCACTTTCAGACTCTGAACTTATAATCACCAAGTTACTTGAAACTGCAAAATTGACAGCAAGTAATCATTTGTAGGTAGAAGTATTTAATACAGCAGCATGCTAGACATGCATGCATCAACTGGATCTTTCCAGAAGAGCTGCAATGATAATTAGGAACTTGTTATTTTGTGTACTACTGGTATCTAATTGTTCTCTCATATCAATCTAGGATGCTTCAGGAAGAATTGGCACACGGGGCCATATATTTGCTATGGAAGAAAAGCTCTCTCTTAGATTTGACTTTTGGCCATCTGTGATTCTTCTCACTGACCACTATGTTCTAGTAAGTACTTTCAGCAAAACAGCTGTCATTCCATGTTGGCTTCCCAGAGCTGCAGTAGGCATTTTCCTAATTCCTGGTAGACTCGAATGCAGTTCACTTTTTCCAGATGTGACTCCACTGGAATTCGAAAATACTTCAAGTTTCTTAAGTTGCATGATTCAACCACAAATGTACAGCAGTTGACCTCTTGGGTTTAGTTGACTTCTTGGATTTAGTCACGATTTCCATTTTTGGGCATAGGCATACACGCGTTTTGTGCAAGCAAGACATTGAAAAGAAGCTGCTAAAAGAATGGTAGGAAAAGGAAACATTAAATAAAAAAAACCTCTTCATTGTGATCTGTTGCAATATGTGTTCTGGCAAGAACACTGGAAATATTCTTACCACCAGCTGCTGACATTATAGCTAGCTCCAGCAAAGAGGAAGGCAGAATTCCTGTCGACTTCAGTAAGTTCCAGGTCATATCCAGATGTGTCACAGCTCAGTACATGCAAAGAATGCATGTCATAGTAGTTTAGGTGCACTTTTAGAACAATGCACTTTTAGAACAAAGAAGGTCCACATGACTGCATTCATATTATAATTGGCTCAAAGTTATTATCTGAGTTTTGTTAATCAGTAACAGATGCTCTACACTGTCTTGAATTGCAGTTCTCTTCAGCACTCAAAAAATGTGTTGCCTAGGAAGTGTATTTGCACTTTTTCAGTGGATGTGTTTTACAACCCCCATTTTTTTTTAAAGATTCAGGTCTATCGCTTTCAGCCATTCAACTGAATTCAAGTCAGTATGATACAAGTTCAGTAACTTAGAAACTTTTAAGTTTCTTTTTACTCCTCATTTCAATGACACTATCAAGCTTTGAATATGTGTTTCAGTTAGAAATCTTTGTACCATTCTATCAATGCCCGTAAGGAATGCTCCAAGGCTGCCATTACTCCACAGCTGGCTTAGAGTCAAAACTGTCGTTTCAGGCTCGTGTGCTCTTTGGGCTGATTGTGCTGGTTCAGATCACCTTGCTTGTTGTTTTCAGATACCTCCAAAAGCCAGTACTCAAAGGTATGAACCAATGTTTGTGGTTTTTAGAGAATCTGTTTTCCCCTGAATTTTTTACTGTTTATCTGTGTGCTAACAATAGGTAAGTAATTGTGCTGTTCATGACCATATGCGTTTTGCATCTACTACTGTGGGGTTCGGTTGGTTTCTCAGAAGCTGCTGTTTTGCATTTACGGGTACCTGGAAGACCTCCAATATATCAAATAAAGTAAATTAAAAACTAAAAACCTGAGCAGGCATCTTTGTTTAAACAAAAATTCAGTTGACTGGAGTCTTATTTTAATTTTCTCCAATGCATAAAGGAATGTTTCATTTTGTATTAGTTCTGTACAAGTGCTTGTTTCACTACAGTTATCACAGAATTCTTTGTCGCCTGAGTGGAGAAACAGATTTCCTTCTGCAAAGACAATTTTGTTAATTTTTGCATAGAACATGGACAGGATTGGGTCTTTCTCAATATTAAGGCCAGTTCTTGCATAACGTGATGGTTTTTCTGTGATAAATCTGGTAAATGAAAATTAATAATGTGAAGCTTGTGTGCTTATCCTTTAAACAATTATTTGAACCACACCCTACTAATAAGATTTTTCTGGAAGCCACCTCCCTTCCTGTTCATATCAGTGTCTGTCCCTTCCTTTATACTCATAATCACGTAGCATCCTGAGGTAACTACAGCAGCTGCTTACATAGAAAAAGAATAGATTTTCAGTTGCCTTTATGGAATTCAGCAACTAAAACTGAAAAGAGCTGACTCTGTGATCAGCTAGGTCCCTGTGGACCATGACAAATGTTTTACAAATTAGTGATCAAGTCTGTTAGGACTGTTGATTTCCAAAGGTCAAGCTTGCCCCCTGGGGGCTAATTCTTTGTGAGAAGGGCAGCCACAAAATAGGTGAAACTCCACAAGCTAACTTCTATAGGAAGGCTCACTTGGTCTCAATCTATTAATTGTCTGCTTCAATTAGAAAGTTAATACTGCTTATTTCTGCTAACACACTTGTAAGAATACTGTCATTTTAATGCTTAGCCTTCATTTGATCTGAGTTGCTATCAGATCTCACTACATAGATTCAATTAAAAAAAAAAATCATTAATCTAATCCATGCTGACCTGTCTTTCTGGGTTTGCACAGTTACTGTTTTGATTTTCTTACTTTTCATTTAATATGTATTTTGTCCATGTTTTTCATACTAGATAACTTCAATTTCGGGTATAGAATGTTCTATGTTATTTACATACAGTAATTGTATTCATTTAGAATGGCAGCTTCCTATGCTGTTTTTAATATGAATTGTGTATTTATCAGTTCTTTACTTTCAGTTATCACAGTAATAGGAGAAATGCATTCCTTTGCATTTGTTCTGTAGACATACCAAATATTACTATATTCCTTATTTAATAGAATGAGTACATAATGTGCAGACTTGTTTCAGAAAGAGCAGTATTTTATATGTGTATATATATATGGGAAGTGGTTTGCAACCTGAATTAAGTGTATTTTTCTTAAATGTGTTCTCTTTAGAAAAGCCGGGATTACTTACTCTGACTTCATACTCCCTTCATGTCTTCAGTAAAACAAACACCTTCTACTACTCAATTCTGGTTCTGAATTTGTACACCATTCTGGGTAAGTAGCATAGAGTACTGGAGGACATAAATTAGTATTTTGAAATTACACATCATATCCGGATGAAAATTAAGACTTGTAACATTCTGGAGAATGATAAAAATCTGCTTAAGTTACAAAATCTATGTGGAACTTGAAAAGTTTATGTCCAAAGGTTTGTTTATAAGATCCTAACTTAGAATCCCTGAATTAATTAAACACTTAAATTGTTAAATTGGTGTAAAATGAGAATATGGACGGCACATTTCACATGAGGTGTCACTAAGGCATCTCAGCTCTCATGCTACAATTTTAGCTTATTCTTCTCTGATATTACGTTACTAAAATAGCTACTTTCTTGGCAGTCAGCGTAGTATACATAACACAGAACAGCCTGCCTATTTTAATTTCTGTGCTGAGCCAAGCTGGGATTGTTTGTGACCATGTTTTCCATATGTCTTACTGTAATTCTGGGAAAAAAGCTAACATTTGAAAGGATTTACCTTTTCACTTCTCTCATGAGGAAGCTCTTATATGTGGTGTTGAAAATTGTCACAGAAAAGTGGTATTTTCACATGCAGGATGTTCACCCTTTTGCTGTTTGTTGAAGATGAAAACATAAGGCTTATTACTACGGACAAGTAATAGAGGAGTCACTTACCCCAGTAAACCGCTTTGTGCTCAGGAGTGCAAAAGGCCGTGTGGCAAAGGGCCATGCCTGTGTTGTGTTTCCTGATGGTGCTGTGTGTTTGGCTTCCTCTCTTGCAGGACCGTGGTTTGTAGGTGAGCTGATAGATGGCCAGTGGGGAGCCTGCTTTTCCTTCGGGGTGTTCGTTGGTGGTTCTTTCTTACAGGGCAGCATGACATTTGTGGTTGGGATTTTACAGGTATGTATTTATAAAAATTCAAGCTAACAAACTGCTTTTTTCTGGGATTTTTTCTTTCCAAATTTTTTGAGTAGTTTTATAAAGAGTCTTGGAAGGATAGAGGAGGTTAATGGCCATGCCTGACTACAACAGATCTTTCTTACCTTTCTGCAAATTTAAAGGGCAGAAAGGAAGGAGGTCATGCATTATTTTCTTTAACTTCTCTTTTCCCCTATTTGATGTTGCTTTGGACTCTCTGGATGTCTGGATTAAGAGGCCATCTCTATAGATTTACTGCTCTAAATTTTCTATTTTTGTCCTCGGCTCATGCACAGCTTGCAGTGATGAAGCAAAATAAATTGAGTGGCCAGGGCAGCCCTTGCACCCTGAATAACTCTTCAGATCAGTAGGTGTCACTCTCCAAGCACACGAGTCCAGTTTTCCCAGCAGTGGTTTCCCCAGCTGCCATTCATCTGAAAGAGAATTGGCATTTAAGCCAGACCAAGCTAGTGTTGCTTCCTCCTTCATATTCCCTCCATTATCCTTCATATTCCCTCCATTATCCCAGTGCTAGGAGTTGTCTGACCCCACAGTGGGCTGCGTCAGAGAGTTGAGCTGACATGACGATCTTCTGTTTTTACCATATTAGGCTTTGCCAAGTCTGTCTCCCTGAATCAACTCCAGAGAGGTCAGATGCACTTCAATGCCTCTCATTGCAAGGGAGCAGACAGGAATGCTTAGCCTGAGACTGAGGCACAGGCACTATCAGCTCTATCAGCTGCAGAGTCTTGGAAGCACATCCTGAGGTTCCATATCTGGAAATTGTACTCAACCCATAGAATGGGACAGTTATATATGCTTGTATCTTTCCATGCCCTCATATGGGTTACCCAGAACACCTGTCTGGCTTATTGTCATAGTTTTCTCTGCTCTTTTTTTCAGATGTTGTTTTTCAACCTGCCATTAATGGCCTATCTGTGCTGGTGCCTGTTTTTGCGGTGCCGGGGTCACAGCTTCCGCTCTCACATCCGTCATGTCCGAAGCCTCACAGCTGTGCTTGTTCACCTGGCCATGGCACTCCTCCTGGCCTGGCAGCTCTATTCCTGCTATTTCCTCCAGCGAACCTATGGGACCTTGGCTTTCTTCCTCTCCCCAATGAGAATGTGGCTGGTGGCACTGACCTCAGCTCTCATTTATAAAACCTGGACACTGAAATCATCTGAGCTCAGAACTTATATAGTAGAAATGAAAAACTGTCAGAGCTCCTGAAGTACAGTATAAGTATTCCAAATTCTTTGTTTTAAAAACTGTGAAGGTACAACCTATTGTTTTGTGATGCTGGAATTCCATGCAGCTCAACCATTAGGTGGTAAGATCTGAAGTTGCACCTGCACTGCTACACAACTGTATTAAATAGTAAATGTACAATATGTAGTACATACTTTTCTTGTATTATACCATATACTGTATAATATATGTTATATAATACAGTTACACATTCAGTCAAATGTATAATAGTGGGCTTTTTGTGATACAGAACACGGATATGTCTGGACATGTTTGTCTATTACTGTGAACAGAAAAATATTTTTGATTTATTAATTTTTTTATTTTTATAATGCTGGGAAAAGTGAGCACAGATCTTGAAATGAGCTTCAGGATTTTTGCTTAACTTTGATTTTTATTTCAAGATTTACAAGATTTTTACAAGACTAACTGCAAGACTAGACCAGATGTCTTTATGAAGTAATAGTGGCTGCAGAGGTGCTGTGGTGGCTTTCACAGCAAGAGTCCTATGCTGATACACTTTCAGTGCATAATGCTGTATACAAACAGCTTACAGGCTGTTAGGTGTGTATACGTGTGTTTGTGGTCATGTTTACCTGAGCTGTGGCCTATTGCTCATTTTCAATTCTCCCACACCTGACCAGTGAAAAGACAGTGAAAGATCAATGTTGCTGGGATTCTCAGCTGTAGGCAGAGTTCAGCTTCAAAGCCATGGAGACCATGTCCTCAGGATGGGAGATCCTGGAGGAATTATGTGGTCTGATGCCTACAGTGTCTGTAACTGAGCAGGTCAGGCCTGTGTTTCTGGGTCTCAGTCAAATGCACTAAAGAGTGACCTAAGAAAACTTGTTTTTTTGTTTTCACTTTTTTCCAAGTCCAAGAATGATAATACAATTAGTTACATTTATGAAGACTGAAAGGATCCAGAGCCAAGAGAGCCGAAGTGCCTTGATTTGTGAAGGAAAACACTGAGTTGCTTTACAGAAGACTGCTGTGAGTGGAACATTTAAAATAATTTAGGTAATTTTACAGTAATTTATTTATGGCTCCTTGAAAGAAAAGGGAGAGGTAACTTAGGGCTCCTGTGACTGTAGTAGAACACAGGAAAATAAATTTAATTGGAAGAAAATGTTAACTAAAACAAAGACTTTTTGTTCTTTCTAAAAGGTGACAGTTTTCCTACTCTTTAATTTGTATTCTTCAATGATTGATGATATAATAGAGCTCTCATTTGCATAAGTTAAATACACTGTTAAGACAGTACAGAATGTCATTTGTTGCTACAGAAGTTTGTTTTGCAAAGCTGTTAGAAAATCACAGGGCACAAAATCTATGTGAGAAATGCTACTGAAAAATTAATAATGACATTTCACAATTACTTTTATGTGATAAGGGAGCATAAGAACTGGCAATAAAATACTTCATATTTCTACCCTGTGTCAAGACTGTGTTCTGAAGTGAGACTTTTTTTGTGGTGGTGTTAGCAGTCAATTGCAACATAAAAAAACCCTCAATGTAATCATATTTCTGTAGACTTAAAAATCTTACAGTCTGTCAAATACTTACTTTTGGCTCTATGGGCTTTGTTTGGTAGATGGATGGAATTCTGTTAAAGCTCTCTCAATGTTATTCTTAGTGTGGTAAGTAAAGATGTTTTGTTTGTAGATACATTATCTCTGGCTCCAGCAACCCAAATAAGAATCGCATGCTCCTAATATGATTGATGTGTGAATTATATATGTATGTGAGAATAGCATAATAAATTTTGAGAGAAAGGGGCTATCCTACTCTCCTGCTGTCATGGTGAAGAGCACACTGTAGAAGCTTAGAGCTCTACCCTACACAGGAAGCATCTCTGACCTCATGCTCTACAGACACAGCTATTGCAGCTTTTTGTTGCCTAAGACAAGTAAAACTTACTTTGTCTCATGTTAATTTGGATTTTCTCCTTCTTAAACGGCTTCCCACTATTCTAAAACTTTAGTAGGAAAATCCTAACTTTGCTACTTGAGCTGTACACTTTAACACAGGAGGATTTTATTTACCAATACTGTCTTTGAAATGTCTTAATTCTTTACATCTCAGTTATTAGAGGCTAACCCCTTGTCTGTGCTTCCAGTTCAGCAGTCCCTATCATGTAGGCAAGTGGTTGCCCAAGTTACCTATAAGTAACAAAATTCACAACACAGGATATTTTCCCTTCAACTACAAACAAAATAAATGGGTTTCATAAAATGCAGCCCATCTCCCAGAATCACCACTAACTTAAAGAACTACTAATAACTGGACAAACCTCTGACAACTATGCAGGTAAATAGATAAATTATGATAAATCTGGGAGCCACCCTTTAAAGAAAACTGGATTTGCTCCTCTGTTGGCCTGCACAAATCAACACAGCAGACTGAAGGAAGACATTCCAGTGATAACAGGTCTGGGGTTGGCCTGATGAGTTGCCTGGGTTTGGTCTTCTTTCAAACTAAAGCTCTTCTGCTCTCTAAAAGGCTACAATCTGTACTGAGGAGATAACACAATATCGTGCTGTAATGTATCAGCATTTACAGTCAGCATCAGTGTAAGATTTCATAGTGTTACATGATTTATGGCATTTTTTTTCCAGTTTATGGATGAGTAGTGGATAAAAATATTTATTGATTTTTCTATTTGAACAGAAGCAAATGCCTTTGGCATTCATTATTTCTGGCATATAGTTCTCTTTTTTTTAAAATAGTACTGCTGTTTCAGGGTAAACATGAGAATTCAAAGGTCTGTTGAAGTCAAAGGTCCTTTACAAGCTCTTTGTTAGGACAAATCAGAGCTATGTGATGTGAGCAAAACAAGTGACAGATTGTGCAACCAGACTGCTGAAGTAAGTACTGTACATACTGCTGGGGGACATTAGTATGATCTGTAACAAATCAGTCTTTCATAGTATAAAAGCTTCTATTACAATACTTTAGGGCTGTTTTGGTGTGGGTTTTTTAATCTGCATGGAGGAGCTCCTTTAAAAAAGTTAATTCTCATTTGAAACTACCTAAAAGTACACTTGAAATTATTCAGAAAGAAAAATAACTGACAGTGTCTTCCAGTTGCATTTGGTTGTCTTTTTGGTTTTCAAGTCCCTTAGAAAAAGCATATGTAATTTTTCACGTTGCTGTTTGCTTATGAAGGAATTATTGTGTTCATTGGTGAATTACATCCAAGATGCTGTGAAATGCATAACATAAATAGGAAATAGTTCACAATTTGCCCAGAGAATTTCAGGGAATGAGAAGGGGGTTATGACACAGGGTCCTGCCTTATTGTTGCAAACTGTGAGATATGTGAAAATTTTCCTAAGAAAGTATATTCTTTGATGTTTAATCTTTTCTATACTTGCACACGAAATCAACAAGAAAGAAGATTTAATCCATGGAACAGCAGCAAACAAGCCAGCTCTAAGCCACATCCAGGTACTAGAAAAGCAAATTACTTATTGGCCGTGATAGCTGAGGGCTTGGCGTGCTTCACAGATCTCAGGCACAGTGGGAGGTAACAAAGCTTGGGAAGAAGGATGTACCACTGATGGCGGACATGAAGAATGGAGAATTCACAGGCCACAAGGATATTTGGCAGAACCCCCAAGATAAGGAAGAAACTAATTAAGCCAACTCAGCAGCTGTGCTGAAATCGGCTCTGACTGGGTAAAAGGTAATTCTGGCAGGGGGAGATCGTGACCACCGACCCACAGACCACCAACCCAAGAAACCCACTGACTCAAGAGAAAGACTGAGCATACAGACTAGTTGCCTTGAGAAGCAAGAGAATTATTAATAGAAGATAGAACAGTAATTAATAAGAGACTATGCAGCTTGTAGCAAAGGAACACTAATTCCTCTGTTTGCTAAAATAGATAACTAGTAAAAATTATAAGAATGTCTCCTTTCTAAACTAGACTATGTGACTGTATTTAGAGAGCTCCTGAAGCCAGCAACAATTACACCAGCCCAAACAAGCCTCTGAAGGTTGGGGGTTAAAAATGTTACAACTAACTTGAGAAATTGTGTCCTCTGCGTGAACTTAGCAGGTTATAATGTGAAAACCACACCTCTGAAGCTGAGGCTCTCAGCCTGTGAAGAGCCCTACCCAGTGAACGTGCACAATGAATTTAGAATGCACCTTTAAATCAAGGTGAGAGAAATTTAAGCCAAATGCAGGTTAGCCAAATGTCGATTCATCGTGCCAATATTGCCTCAACAGAACTGTATACGTATGCTTGTATTTTTGGCCTTCGGTGTGCTAGCTTTGGGGGTTACCACCTAGCACCCCTTTCAACCTTGTATGTCTACTGGCTTGGCACACCAGGTGAAAGATTCCACTTTTCAGGGACAATAGTGTTAGATACCTAGCATCCTATTCTACAGAATGGCAATAAAATCAAGTATCTCGACTCAGTGTATTGATTAGCGGCTCTTGCACACCAGGTGAAACAATCCTGCTTTAGGGACAACTGTCACACAACTCCTACTCTGAATTCATGCTTGCCTTTGCTTAAGATCTTAGGAACTATCACTCATTGCCTTCGTAAGGTAAAGCTTCTTGAGACAAATACTAGTGCTTCTACAGCCAGTGATTACCTATCTACTACATCCAAAGCATACTGCATTTTTGTTACCAGTTATTTGTCACCCTTTGTTAAATGACAGCTCTCACAGTACAAAATATATGATAGCTGAAGAGCCTATCTATTACAATAATTGAGAAATTAGGGTGAAAAAAAATATTGTTTTATAACTGTTAGTACTTGGTTTGAAGAATCTTCTCCCTTTGGTTTTTGTTTGTTCTTAGGAGGTAACATGAAGCAGGAGTCACAGGTAAAGAAATACTTCGGTGAGAATCCTAAACATTGGGGGTATCAGGATGAAGTTTACTTTGACTGTTCCCATCTTTTTTTTTTTTCCCTCAAAGGCACTTGACTAATGCTGCTAGAATTTGTATTGCCCTCCATAGCTTACCTAACTACAGGAATGCTGCTGCAATCAGGCTGCCTTTATTACAGTAAAGAATCAATACCTCAGCATGATCTCACTCTGGATCACCCCTCACATCACTGCTCTTAGTAGATTTATGACTTGTGTGGATTACTAAGCAATTGCTGTAAAAATAATAGTGCTGGGAATGTTATAATTTTATCACAGTGTGTTTCAGTTGTGAAAAATAACTTCCTAGAAGATGATTACTTCTGAAAGGTGTGTCAACTCACAGTGCCAGACATGAGCTCACTCTGGACTAGCTCTTCAGCAAGTACTGTTGAAAAGAATAAAATTTGTACTTTGGACAAACAAATGTAACTTTGGAAACATAAATATATTAAACTGAGCCTTTCACCCATAACATATCAAAGGAAAATTAACATTTTAACACCTGTTCAGTAGTGGTTATTATTATGATTGCTTTCTTACATTCACACAACACAAACTCACCACAGTTCATAGTTGAAGTCTCTTTTGAAATATACAGGTATTTAATTCTCTTGCTTTGAATACTACCCTATGTATACTTCCTTCCAAGCAGGCTGAAATAAAAGAGAACAGTCCTCTGTTTTAAGAATAAAAGACATTTCTCTCAAAACAGGCTGTTGAAATGGAAATAAAATTGATAGATTGGAGGATGCCATATATAGGGAAATGCACATTATAGGACATTGTAACTTTTATGTGGGTTAGCGTTCAAAGGTAGAAGGAAATAGGAAAACACCATGGTGACACCATGCCCCAAAAAGCACCCAATACTCTCATTTGTAAAAATATTTTTGCATCAATACCGATTTTCAGAAGCAGCAGCAATGGAGCCTCAGGTTAAAGCCAGATTTGCTGCAGGGTGTGTGTGTGTGTTTTGGTTGGTCATGTGGAGGAGTTAATGGAGTGTTAATGGTTGGTCATATATTTGGAGCAGGTTGTTTTCTTTTGCATTTACATATTTGCTTTAAGAATGAACTGTAAGGACGAGGAGGCTTATTCAGAAAGATTAAATGTGATAGAGTGCATTAAGGCTAATCTGCCTGGCAGAAACTGAATGCAGAACACAGAGTGCATAGAGCAATGGGGATGCTGTTTCAATCTGAATGTTCCTATCAGGCTTATGCATGTAGGAGGGAATAAAGAAAGGAAAGGGGACAATGGGCACATCAGCACACTCACTGGGGACACTGTTCGGAAAGGCTGTATTCCCATCAGCACCCTCCTCATTAAATTCAGTTGACAGGAATCCAAATCTAGAGCCAGTGCTCAGGATCATTGCTTTTCTTGCTGCCTCTCATTCTAATATACACACCAATTACCAAGTCATACAAGCCTACAGTGCTTAACTTTCACAGCTAAGTTAGTCACCTATAAACAATCAATATGCAGGAATGAATAGAATTTTGCTCACCTCTTGCTTTGTCTTCCATTTGCCAACTATGACAACATATTGAAGTTAACACATAAAAATTTTGGCTTCTATTCCAGTGTTCTTGAAATGAAGTACCGTGAGAAAGTTAAAAATGCATTGTAGTACAGGACAGAGATAAAACCAAAAATGAGAATAACCAAACCTACAGAAACCAAGAATTGTGACTGGAGAAGCAGGAACAGGAGGAAATTATAAATCAAATTACAAAGCCAAGGACCAACTTTATCTGAACTTAGTGCTCATTAACATAGTAAGATATTTTAAGACAATCTAATGCTATACTGCAGGTCGCTTCTCCTCAAAGTTTATGGCATCCATCACTGCATGCTTCCTTCTTTCAGGGCCAGCTTAGGCATTAGGAAATGAAAGGACTGTTTTTCATATTGATCACAACAATATTAGGCAATTCTGATACTTGTCTTACTTTCCACAGCACACAAAATCATTTTCTTGCAGCGTTTCTTTCCCAGTCCTTGGATTCCATTTAGTTTGGCCTGGGTAGTGACTTAATGCATAACCCATTCTGTGGACAGTTCAGCTGACTGTTCATTTTTCAAGTTTCCCCACTGAGATGGTAAAAGAGCATTGTTAGACTAAAAATTCAGAGCCAAGAGAAGTTACTGAGGGAACAGAAAATCAAGTGTCTGCAACATTACCTCTGTCATTGGGCAGCCTGTTTTGAGATTCTCTGTCTGTCACCTTGGAGAGGTGAAAACAACAGTAAATCTAGCGAAAATCAGGAGATTATAATAAAAATAAGATACAGTGGAATTTAGAAAAGGAATTCTAAAAATAAAACTTAAGTATGGAATGAGAAGAGTAAATAAGGATCACCCTACACCTGAACGATCTCTGATTAAGGTCTCAGGTTGCATGCAGAGGGAACTGTAAATGAATTAGCTTTCAAGTGCTCTGAAAACAGAGGATATGATACAATACAGAGAAATGGACAAGACAGATCGGTGGAAATTTCCTTCAGATGGCAAATGGAAATACCTTTGGTATTAGAGAATTCTAGAACTGAAATTTTTACTGCAATTATCTGGAAAAAATAGGAATAGTTATGTTCTAAAATTAATAGCTGGATTGACTGAACTGTCAGGGAAAACTTACACTAGTAAATTAAAAATTCCTAGAGAAGTTCCTGGGCACTGAGACAATGTAGCATGGGAATGATGCACATCTACACCAGTAAATTCTTCTAAAACCAAAACTAGGCGGCTGTGTACAAATTACTTACTGGAAATTGTTCCTAGTGATATCTAGTCCCTCAAGATTTGAACCAAATTTTGGACTTCTGTTGTTGTTAATCAGGAGCTATAGCTAGGCAGATATGACTAAGCAATTGAATTGTGAAACTTGTAGTCTTGGCTAATCCTTTGTTTTAAGGGAAACGGAACACAATCCCAAAATGAATGGGCTGTCTGGACAAGAGCCATGAGGAGTGAAGTCAGCAGGACTGAGCAGTAACTGGAGGAAAGGTAATTCCAGCAGGGGAGATGGTGCCCACCAACCCATTAACCACCTACTCAAAATGGACCCATTTCAAGTATAAATGATCGCATTCCTGTTTGCAGTTCTATTTAGTTTATTAGCATCCCAAAATCTCTGCTTTCAATCCATACAGAACAACTTGATTGTTTATTTAAAAATGGAAATTAGTATAAGTGAAAGCTTCCTCACTATTAGAGACAGAGGGCAATTATTTTTCTTAAACCAATGACTTTTACTTAGAAACTGAGACGATCTGTTTTCCAATATTGCCTCCGCTCATCATGGACTGGAAAGCAGCTTCAAGAGAAGTAATGAAATAAGTTAGTGCCAAGTAACCTTTAAAAAAGAAAACAAAAATGGTAGAAGCAAACGTATTAAACAGCTCCCTGAAGAGGAGAGATCCCGTTTTGGGCCAGCTTTGTGTCATCATTAAAAAAACCTGACTTGTAAGCTACTGTCTGACCCTATACAAATTAAGGATTACATTTGCTGCTTCTATGATATGTCATGCAAGCATCACAGAGAGACAAGGCATGACTGGAGAGCCCCCAAAGGTTTTGCAAGCCTTTGTGAGAGAAAAGGCTTATAAATATTGTATAATAGTGTGAGAAGCTGGTACAAAAGAATATACCTTTGAGTAAACAAAATATGAAAGTATGAAATATGACTGCTATATTTGACCAAATTCCTTCGAAATACATATGTATACCAGTAAGAAGCAATTAGAAATGACTAGAATAAATTGGAATCTCTAAGATTTGGTTATCACCTAATTCTATGAGTTCCAATCTTGTGGGACTAAAGACTAAATGGACTAAATCATACTCTTCCCCCTTACTTGACAGGGAAGCATTCTTACAGTACATCTTTGATCACATGGCTCATGTCACAAGACCCGCTTTATTTTTATATTTCCTTTGTTACAATATTTTGAACAGGTTACATGATATTTTGTTCTGTTAAAAAAATTACTTTCTTTAGCAATCTGTAATATGCTTTGCCCCTTCCTGTATGTACTTTCAATTTTATTTTTCGTTAGCAAATCCAATAACAACCTCTGCTAGATATTGGGCTTTTTTAAAGTATAATTTCAAAGTTGTCAAAATAGCATTTTCTTACACTCAAGTTCTAAGAAACAGGCAGCATTTTAAATCAGTAAGATCAGGATGACTATCAGCAGCAGCTAAGGTAGCAGTCTAGAAAAAAAAATCTAAATTTATATTCAATGATTTTTTTAAATGTAAAATAATTTTCTTACAGAACATTTTAATACCTCATGAAAAAATATTTTATTATAACAAAAATCATGGTTTTGAAAAATACAAAAATCTGAATTGGTAAATGAAACAAAGGAGGTAGTTAACCTCTAATATCATTGTATTTAATAAGGTTATTATTATTCTTAGAAAATGATGTAAAAATCTTACCACCGATGTTTGCTAAGCCTTCTACTGTGGTCTCTCTGACCTGTCAGTGCAAACAAGTCCTTTTAGTTTTCTTCAAACAAGATTAGCCTTTCACATTTTTTAGAAACACGCCAAGAAACTGCCACAATCTAAAGACTTCTCTTGCTACAATGGACAGTGCTCTGTTTGGATCAGACTCTTTCATCAGTCAGAAAAGGAAGTGTTTAGTTCTTCAATTAGATCCCTGCCCCTTCCAAAATTTCACATCTTAGGATTTTCCCAGGAAAATTTACTGATCACTAGAAGAAACAAAAACTAGTTCAGACAGGCCTCTGTCTGAAGGTATAATTTAAGCATATACCCATCACAAAATAATAAATGGCAATTACAAAACTTGAAATAAAATTTCAGACAAGATCCTCAGCAGCATTCTGGACACTTAACTGATCAGATATTTGAAAGCCATATTTTTGAAGGCCTGATCCTTTAAGTAAAAAGTGCACCCTGTACTGAAATAAATAATACAGACATGAGCAGCATGTAATTAGAGAAGTCTGTCATACTACAGTCAGATCATGCTCACAGGTACCTTCTAAAACAGTGCTATCTTGTAAGCTTTCAGTCATACTTACACATTCTTAAGAAAGTCTGTTCAATTCTGAGGCACAGTAAGAGAGACGGGGACAAAGAAATTGGTTTTGTAGTCAGACCATGATCTGAGGAGACAGTGTCAAAGGCCATTGATCAAATCTAAAAGTTCTCACCTTCAGTTTACCTTCTTGGATCCACTGGCAGAGTTGTAATACACTAGCTTCGTGTTTGTCCATGTAGTTCAACACTAAGAATCTTTCCCTGTGAAAGAAAAGAATGAGTTTTGATTTAAGAAACATTGGTAAACATTTTAAAATCTTTACAAATATTTTCAGGAAACAGCATTGTTGAAACTGAAGGGTTATGAGTACGAATTACAACGAGATGCAGCTCAGAGCTTTGCCAGCTTGTTGTGACAGCTCCGTGCAGTGGGAACTTGACAGAAACATCGGTCTTAGACAAGTAATTCTGTTCAAGTATCAGAGGTAAGAGTAATAAAACTGAAGTAGTATCACCAGAATAAGCAAATGTCCATAAAATGTAAGTGAATTCTTATTATTTTTTACCTTTTTCTTTTTTTTTGGTAGTAGAGAGAATAATTAATGGCACTGCGATTAGATGGTGACTATACATTAACTTCAGGCTACTCAAAATTTTGCATATCCTGCTGTCACAGCTTTCTATAGCAATCAAGAAACTGAAATGATCATCAAAAATCATAATTACTTGTAGCAACACACTGACTAAATTCTCCATTGTATTCTACTAATTTTATCTATTTTTTTTTGAAACTGCAGACAACAGTAATAGGGACAAGAAAAGAATTCTAATTAGAAGAGGTCAATCCATTTGCACAGAAATCAAAAGTCTCCCCAGCTTTGTGATATGCAACGACTAAAAAGTCTCCTAAGACTCTGCTTCTGATCTCTACCTTAGATGCATCTGAATCCTGAGAGGAGATTCAGCAATTCCCAGAGTCACAGCAAAACTGTTTTACCTGTATATGTCACACCTACAGTCCCATTATCTAAAAAACCCCAAATACTAAAAATGTAATTTCAATAAAATCACTGCATCAGCTGCATCCTTACTCCAAAAATATTTGATTTTCTCTCTGCCTGAATTACTACACTTTGAGAGAAGGTGCTCTGAGAAGGCATGTCTGAGAACAGAACCACAGTAGCACCTTCTCTTGTACTGAAGAATCTGTTAGAAATTCCAGGACTAAATCTATCCATCACAAAAAAAAGTGTAAGAACAGATATGTGCGAGTCTGTGTAACAACATCACTTCCCATTTTTTATGCCGATAAAGACAAACGTAAGAGAAGGCATTTACTGACATTGTGATTACAGTTTCCTTTTTAGGCATGGCAACACTCTGCTCGGATTACACGCGTCTGTTGAGGATCTACAGACTACCTTCCAAACATCAGTCACAACATCACATGTGCAATTGACCTGGAACCTGGTCACTAGTTCTGGAGGAGAAACGTACCTTGTGATGTTCCTTTCTTTCCGTATTTTTTCTATGTCAGGAGGCAGTGGAGGAGGATAAGGCACATCTTTGTTATACTGAGAAATCTGTCCACACAGGATGATATGGCTGTTCTGATTCATCTGTTTGGGACAGCACAGAGTGAGAAAAATTACATTCCTCTGTCTCAGAAACTAAAATTTCTAAGAGATGCAATATATTGTATTGCAAAACTTTCACATGAGCCACATTTCCTATAAAAGGGTGGGAAAATGGCATGCAGTCCCAACAACCTATGACAGCATTCAAATACGTAAATGCAAAGCAACAGTGGAAAAATAAATGCTATACAGCCTAATGTAATTTAAAAAGGCACTAAATAAAAGGAAGATAAGAAATTGTTGTCTTACTGTGTGCCCTTTTTGACAGAAGAGGGGTAATAGGACAGAGAAGTTTAATACAACTGTTGGATACAGTGTGATTTAGAAGTCCCAAAGATGCCATTGCCACCAAAGCCTCCCTGCCATGACACAGAGTGGTTGTATGTTAACAGTGAAGTCTGTATGGAGGCCCAGCAGAACTAGTCCTGCATCAAACCAGAAAACCAAAGCTGACAAAACACAAGATTACTGCGGTGATAGACAAAGTTTTTACAGAATATTAACAAGACTCCTGGCCTAAGATGTGAGAGACAAGAAACAGAAACTGTGTTTCTATTACTGTACTGCCAGGTTGGTCCATATGACAAACACTGATTTCAAATATCTAATTTCTCCTCAAGACCAGGATCAACGCCTGGGTTAGATCACTGAAGTGGAAAACCTGCTCTGCTGTATTACAGGCTGAACTCTAATATGAATTAATTCAAAGCTGGGCGTGCAGACACTGCAGAATAACTGGAATAAGCCTGACAGCTGGAATAATCACCTGACTTATAACCGTATCACTGATGTCTCCACCAACATTGTCAAAGTAAACATCCACACCGCCTGGGCAGAGTTCACGTAGCTGTTCTGCCACATTTCCCTTCTTGTAATTGATAGCAGCATCAAACCCCATTTCTTGGACCAAAATGGAGCACTTCTCATCTGTGCCAGCAATCCCCACCACTCTAGAGCAGCCCTCCAGACGGCCAATCTGCAGGCACACAGTTAAAAAACAAAACAAAAACAAAAACAAACAAACAACTAAAAACCCCAAACCATAAAGACAAGTTAGATCATTCATCTGCATACAGGTACCAGTGGATGAAAGGGGACCTTAGAGAGTGTTACAGTTATCCCCCATCCACTGAACCCCAGACAGCGAAGTCCAGCACACACTCCCATCTCACGTGACACAATTGCCTCTTGTCACTCCCTCCTCACACTTAGATAAGGGGAGGTACAATTTGCCATCTTTCCATAACTCACTGACTACAGAAGATTTAATTTGTAGACTCACCAATGACTGGTAGTACTTGAGAACCAAAAATAGTATACAATTACATCTGCTACGTAACATAACTTAGATAACAAAAGAGAAAAAAAAAAGACATGGATGTAAATACATTCTTCATCCATTTGCTTATGTATTGTTTCTTCATAGCTTCTCTCTATTAGTAAGTCTAAAGTTTGCTTGTGTGTATATGAGTATATATTATATATATTTATAGATATGCACATACACACTGCAGCAGTGTGCAAAGCAGACTGAGGAGGACAAAAGAGCTGTAAATCTCAAAACACAAAGAATGTCATGGAATACAGCACAAAGAAGGGTTTACCACATTTTTTTACTGACTATTTTCTAATACAGAAAAAAACCTAAAGTCTCTAGTCAATACAAAGACAGTGTTCAGGTGGCAGGTTACTATATAAATATATATAAATACAGGTATTTATACCATCTACTTTACTTTGCTAGCAACAAGTAATCACCATGGACTGTTCTCTCCTATCCCAGTTTCATGACGCTTACTTTCACACCTAAAATCTGTCTCAGTGAGAGTGTGTGCCGAATCCATGAAACTGGCCCTTCCCATGGGATTATACCTACTCATGTTTACAGTGATTTTATCCACGTGTTTAGTAACCAGCATGTTCCAACATGTTCCAGAAGACAAAACTTAGTCACAGAGTACGTTCACGTGTCTTAAGCCCATCCTACCTGGCCGGCCAAAGAGCCGCAGGCACCGGCTGCTCCGCTCACCACCATTGTCTGATTCGCACCCACAGCCACGTGTCCCTTCTCCCTGACACCCAGCAGGGCCGTCAGTCCCGTGATGCCAGCTGCACCGAGGAAGTAGGAAAGGCGTCCATTCACAAGCTGTGGAACAAGCTACACAACAGAGACGCGTGTGGTCTTCATTTGTTTTTTAAGGTGAGGTTTTGCTGTTTGATTGACTGAGGATATTTTCCAGGCAAGGCACAACTGGTAGGGGAGGAGCTATCTCTAAATTAGGTCTATTCTAGCAACAAGTTCACATAATTATATTTCCATAGTTTTAGAAAAAGTTTTTAAGCAAAGCCACTCACAAAAACTTAAATTATGGAAGCGTCAAAATGTAGCTGGGAGACAAGAAGTTTCCAGCAAGTGAACAATTCCTATAAGGAATAAAAATGCACCATTTTATCAAATACTGTGATTGCAGATCCATGGCAAAGGGTCCTAAAGGAAGGAGTTTATTGGAAAGTATAAATTCTCTAACTGCAATAATTTTCTGTGTTACAAGAGAACAATCAACACATTATATCTAGTGCACTGTTCCCTCTCCACTTTCAACTTAATACTGAATACCCTTTCGTCTGTGGAAGTAAAATCTCAAGTGAAAGCTTATAATAACATATATTAATGAAATAAATTAAATTAAACATATCTAAAGCTTTTTTTGTCTTACAACTACACTCTTATGGATCAGTAGTTCTACTAGAATAATTATCAGACTTAATTAACAGAAGGAGTTTCGGGTAAATTTATTAAAAAACAACAATTGAAATAATACTGGTGTGTCTGGTAACCGAGAAAAGCATTTACATTTTTCTTTGTTATGAAACAAGGAGAAATTGATACAGGTTTTGGCACCTATGACTGGATCTGCCTTTTGAAAACTAGTTGTTCAAATAACGTTGGCTTGTTTTTGACTAAAAAATAGTATCACTAACAGTAGTTAACATTAATAGCCTCAGCAGTTATTTAGGGGAAAAAAAAAAAGGTTTAGTAAAAGAAATAATGACAACCCAGGGTTTGCATTTACATTACCTTTTGTAGCAAGCTGCCATCTAGAATTGCCACTGTCTGCCAGGGCCAGGTGAAGGAAGTTACAAAGTCTCCTACAGCGAGGTTATCGTGCTTGCTCTCCTCCACAACCCCAACACCGCCACCATCAGCAACTTGAGAGAGCTGCCAGGGCTGCAGGTAATCGGAGCCAGTGTCCTCATTCATTCGGCAGCGCTGAAAGACAAGGCTTTAACTGGAGCAGATGTGTTTAAAACTTCAAACACAAAGGGTTCCTCAAAAATCTCTCAGTAAGCCCCAAATATTCATCATCTTGTCTTAGACCCCTCTCTCCCCTTGTTTGCTCAGTACAAAGGAGGACGGACCATTCTGATCTCCTCCAGCAATGTCACCAAAGCCTGCACATTCTACAGATGTTGCCTCAAAGGCAACCAAAGATGACTGGCTCGGATCTGACGAGAATACTACAAATTCCATTCCTTTACTGAATGAATCTTAGAAATGTAGGATTGCAAAAAATACCCACAAATCACTTAGACCATGCCTGTGCACTGAAGGGCAGTCAAACATATGTGGACCATCCTTGACAGAGATCTGTTTAATGAAACATCTTGAAATCTTTAATAATCCTGAAGTACTAACTTCGGCAACAGGGGGAGATATAAAGTATTTAACTTCTTCTTAATTCCCAAGCTAAACCTACTTTCCAGAAATTTAGACTTTTCTACTATCTCCATCTATGCAGGGAATAAATGTTCAGAATTCTCTTTATAGCAAACTTTTACAGACTGTGTCTCTCTGGTTCTTCTCCCACTTTCATTTCATCCCCAACTCTCCCAACCACATGATTTCTACAACTGTACAGAATTGGAAAATACATATATAAGAAAGGCAAAATTCTTACAGAATTTTAAAGCTTAAAGAAAAAGCTGATACAAACAAATCTGTAATGGTACACCAGGGTTCTCAGTCCCTTCCTAGTTCTATAAAGTCATATTCCTATATTTATCCAAGGCACGTTAAAGCCAAATTCCTTCCCAATGTAACTCCATCAGAATGAATACAATTACTAAGTTATACTAGAGATATACTAGAGTCCTATAATTGGTAACTTTGGTGTTAAACATCATGACAGGTACAGAGTTGAAGGTATTTTATAAAACAAATTCTGGCTTAGCCCTAAGTCTATCACCTACCATGTAAGGGTCCACAGAGAGATAGAGGGTTTTAACACGCACTTGTCCTGCTTGGATTGTATCCGCTATTGTACTTTGTTCCAGTCGGAAGTTTTCAGCCACTGGCACTCCATTCTTCCCTGGAATTATTTTAAAATCAAACAAATAAATGAATCAATATAGAGCTTCCCTTAATCAATATGGGAAGGCCTTTTTTCAAGGTAGTGCTTTTTAGAGTAAGTTAGGTTATGTATTTACTCAGGTATAAAACTACCTACCAACTTTCAGATTTTGTATCAAACTACAATTTAAATGGGTGCACTTCCACCATCCAAACTGAAGACACGCTGATACGTCAGCTTATGCCTACCTGAGCCAGTACCAGGTACGTGCACTGACTGACAGTTTCCATGCTGCTTGCTACACATGATTGTTATGAACAATTAGGGCAAATTTAAAAAAGTAAAATCAGGAACTGTTCCCCTTCTAAAAAATGGTTCTGTATACTCTTACATGCTGAAAAGCCCCTAATGGTCAAAACTAAGACATGCACTGGGACTTCTCTCACATAACAAAATCATCATGCACTGTTCTGCCAAGAGCAAACGTCCATACATTTTAACCAGTTTTAAACTCTCAACCTTCTGCCTCTTTTGACTCAGGTAGGATTGAGGGAATACAGATCACAGCCACTGCACAGGTATATGCTTCTAGAGCATCTCTTTGCATATGCAGACAGACCTCTTCAAATTAAAGCTTCCCAGAAACACCTGTAAAACTGTGCCAAGAGCCCCAGAACTGGAGCCTTCATCCTCAGCTTGGTACCACATGCAGCGGATCAATCGGACTGACAATTGGAACCACTGGCACTAAAAGGAGACAGCCAGACACCCTTGCATATTTTAAGTCAGAGTGCACAACCCCAGCAGGCTGCTGCTGTAACATTTTGAAAGACTTATTTGCAGATCACACAACAGTTCTTACTGCTTAGGACTATTTTGGCATTAAGCAGCATACAATACTCCCTGCAAAACTTAACGTCTTCTACAAAAGAAAATTTATGAACTCACTATTTAAACCATTGTGCTGACATCCATAACAAGGCAAATGTGTAAGCAAGAAAGTAAACAAAACCTCAAGAGTATAAATTTATAAATTTAAAAACCACTTTGAAACATGGGAAAAAAGATCCAAAATTTACTAAAAAGAAGCAAAAATTAATAGTAACAACATATTTTAGTCATCTCTTAAAATGCCAGAACAAATGTCAGAACTAAGAAGCCAAGTTTGCTAATCTTTCTTCCCTTTGAACCCCTACACTTAAAAGTTTTCTCATATATTATGCATTAACCCTTTTTTTCCTCACCCGAGAGTTTAGAATCTGTATATACAGACTAAATAAAAGCACTTCATGACAAATTTATTGCTGTATTCAATATTAAGACATACAAATGCCAAGATCTCAAGTTAGTGCCTGTTTCTACCCTCAGCATTTTGGAGCATAAGGCAACCATAAGACACACAATTGCTTCTTTATCAGAGAGAAATACATACCAGGCCGCGAATTCAGCACTACTCTCTGTATAATCATCTCTGCTTTGCAGCAATTTCACACTGGTTTTCTACAAAAGAAAACATTGTTTGAAGGACTGAAATATAAGTTTTCTTGAAAACAGAATATGGGGCGAAGTACTCAGTACTTTGGAAACTGGAGATGAAAGATGGGCCCTACCAACTTCAGCATCCATACCCAAAAATCATTTAAACTAACCTCACATATAAAATAAACAAATGTGTGGAGCTTCCCTATTTATCTTGTTAAAGCTGTGACTTTATACAATGTCACAGTAGCACATGCTGGAAAGACTGAAAATTGTAATGTCCCATACTGCTTGTAAGATCATCCCCAGGTTGGAGGAAATATGCTTGGTTCACTTTCCTGTGCTGACTGAGAACACTCTGTTCCCACACAAAAGACACAGAGACAGCTTTGCATTCAAAGTCAGGTGCCACTCAATAAAAGGCACATCAGAATATCAGTTTGCAGGTACTTGATAAAAAGAGATTATTATGTAAGATGTTTTGTGTGAAACAGCAATTCTTTCTACTAGCAGTGTATTTTCTCCTAAGAAATGGTCTGGCCCAGAGATAAGAAATAATTGGGTTTCCACTTGATCTGATCTATAGAATAATTTTTCCTTGACTTTTAACAGTTTAAAAGAAGACTGTAAATCTGTGGTCTTGCACTTGTGAGATGCCAGAGTGATTAAGAGGGAATTAACCTGATTTAATAGGAGAAAAATCATGATCTTGCTTTCTGAGCCAATACAAAAATAAAAGTGTTACTACTATTCTCAGCAGAGTGCCATAAATAACCAACATCCACATGAACCAAGGACATTATGGAATGAAACATGATAGCTGATGTCTTTGTCATAATGTTTATTTTGCTGACAAGAACAGCAAATTGGAGTGAAGCTAGAAGATGAGCCTTGAAAGTACATCATCACCACTTACATTACAGCACTCAAAACCATCAAAAATATAGACTGGAGTGCTGAAAACATAATTAAAAAGTTATCAGGAGAAAGGCATCCCTGGCCTTTCCCTCTCCTCTAAAACCCACAACTGACTCAAAACACGCGTATCTTACTTAAAAAAAAAAAAAAAAAAAAAAAAAGAGATAAAGGTTTAACACTTTTTGACACTTGATTGTGTTTGCACTTGAAGAGCAAAATTTGTTCTAGAGTTAATTTCTTTTCAGTATTTCAAGACCTAAGGATGCTACAAGCTATAAGGCATGAACCTCAAATGTGTCTTTATACCATCACATCAGTGAAAAATAAGTGACCTGCAGAGTTCTTTGGGCAAAACAATTTAGAACAACAGTCTGGAAAGACGTGAGTGGAAAAAGTATCTGGTGTAAGTTTTGACTACTTCTTTGAATGCCTGACATTTTGAGGGAACAAAAATGCTGTTTATTTCCCAGGTCGTTCTCACAGCTTCTGTTTGAGGAGCATGTGTACTAATTCAATTTGAAGATCTTCCAGATACTGTGAGTGGGTGGACAGAAAGCTAAGCTGGCAAGTGAATTGTCACTCATTTTATGACAACTGCCACAGTAAATACAGCACTGCAGATGGACCATTTATTTCTAAATACAACTGCACTTACAGTGCAAGTCAGCAACACCGTTACACAAGCAAATGGTCACACTAACAGCACAGCATACTGCGAATCAAGCTTTCCTCACCTTATAAACAATACGAAAGTGACTTAAGAAAATAAGTAGAGGCACCATCCTTTAGCACTGTAAACTGAGGAAAGCTTTTGGAGAGAGAGAACAGATTTTTTAAAAGTGAAATAAAGGAGATTTGCATCACATACACGGTCTTTTCCAATACATGCATAATGCCAACATGAAGGATGCTTTTGACTCTGTTTTTTTTTTTAAAGACAACACAAAGCAACACACATTAGTATTTTTTAGCTTTTCCAAACAAAAACAATCTGAGTGGGTTTTACACTTTAAAATCAAATAGAATAAAAATGAATTGCAAGTTTTAACATCATCATTCTATGCCAAGTTCACACTATCTGACCAATACTATAAGTACAACAGGACCATTAAGCAGCACAACAGCAATATCTTCATGAGAGTATGTTTTAACCTAGTTTTATTCTTATCCCTTTGCTCACTTGCCTTTCCCCATTTTTGCAGAGACCCACAACAATTCCTTTTAAAAGCATTAAATAAATTCCTCAGTGCTAAAATGCTCCAGTTTGTTAATTTGTCCCAGGCTTGGTTCCTAGAACTTCTTGTTTCTGAGGCTGCCTGTAAGAGACACTTTTCAGTTACATATACTTTTGCCAGAATGATACACCTGCTTTCAAGTTGTTGAAGCCCATGCCAGGTGCAGCCTAATAAAAAAAAAAAAAAAAGAGGAAGAGAAGGTAGTCCTGTATTAGACCCAGGCAGCGTGAAGGAAGAAAGCAGTCAATTTAAACAGAGGACAAGAATACTTGGAAGTCTTCTGAAACTACAGTGTCAAAATGGCTGGAGCAAGGATCCTCAGAGGAAACTCAAGGAAAGAAATTTCAGGAAAGAATGACTCTGAATGAGGAATGAGCAGGAAAGAAAGATGAGAAGAACTGGGACTAGGAATTAGAACAGAGAAACGTGGCAAGAATAGCAACTTAAAGGCCGGTAAAGCAGAGAAAAGAGAAACAGCATGAGGAGAGAGAACTGAAGAAACTGGGAATGATGAATGGGACAGAACCAAGGAAACTGAGACAGGAATGACTGGTAAAAAAAAGAAAAAAAACAGGAAACACCAAAACTACAAACGAAAAACACACCTGCAACTAGTAAGGTGAGGTAAACAGACATAGAAAAGAAAATGTAATGGATTAAGCACCAAAGTCTCCACCACATCGCTAAGGAGCTCTACATTTGATGAATGTTAATTACTTACAAGCCAGAATCAATACTGACTGTCATGAATGGAGAAAAACACATGCCATAAAAAAGTTAAGTACTTTCATGAAATGAACTAATAAATCCAGATTTCCTAATGTTCCATGTCTTATCACTCTGGTGTGTAGTTCCTCCCACAGTGTTTTTTTCATGTAGGATTCCTGACACACTGTTAAGGATTGAGGGCAGGATGCAGTCTTTCCTCCAAGAAAGGAGCAGATGAAAAAGAAAGAATGACAGTAGTAGTAGGATATTGATCCAGCCATTTTTTTTTTTATATTCCACGAAGCCTAATATCTTTGAGCTTTTTATCACGTTTCACTGACATACAGAGCAAAAGTTCCAGTAAGTATACACATTCATATCTATGTACAGTAGGACTATGTAAATTTTACTTTTTCAGATTTGGGTGCAAAAAAAACCCCAAGACATAAAAGTTCGCAGGTACTGCATCTTGGGCTTCTTTTTTTTTTTTTGGTTTGTTTGTTTTGTGTTTTTTGTTTGTTTTTTTGGTTTGGGTTTTTTTTAAATAAGTAGTTGTATTGCAGTTGCTGAAAATTATTTTAAAACGTATTTATATATAAACAAGGCCTATTTTTTTCTTAGCAGAAGTTCACATATGGAATGCAGATTGTTTCCAGAAAGGCAGGCGCATCACCCGATGGGATTTTATTTTGGGGGGAAGCCTATGATGCAGTATGCAGGCTCCCGAGTGAGAGCAATCCCAGAGAGCCCACTGATTATCCACTTTCCCAGGTATGCCCAAAGACCACGTTAGGAATCCCTGCTATCAAAGGCGGAGGAGCCCCTGCGGACTGTCTTGCAGGCAGGTCGTGATCAGCGCCAGAAGCTGCGGACAGAACAGCCCCGGGCGGGAAACCGAGAGGGGCGAGCGGCAGCGCAGGGGGGTCGGTCCTACGGGCTCATCTGCAGGTGCCGTGGCCTCCTCCCCTCCGGGATCGCTCCACCGCCCCGGGATCCGGGAGTTCAGTAAAGCTCCATCCCCGCTGCCGTTCCAGGGATCGGACGATCCCAGCAGCCTTTTCCAAGCGCCACACCTGTATCCCCGCCTGCCCCGCAGCGAGGAGGCGCTAATGCCCGCGGAAACGACTCCCGGGAAGGAGGACCGGGCGGGCTCTGCCAAGCTGCCCCCAGGAGGACCCCCGGTGTCCCCCGGCACGGCTCCATTCCCCGGGACCCCCGGTGTCCCCCGGCACGGCTCCATTCCCCGGGACCCGCGCGGTTCCCCCTCACCTTGAGCCGCCCCGACCGCCCCTCAGCGACCAGCCCCGCCCCGGGCCCGCCGCGCGCGCGCGGGCCTTAAACAGGGCAGGGCTGGGACACCCCCTTAAAGCGGCGATGCCCCGAGCCCGGCCTGGCGGCGCGAAGGGCTGTGGCGGGGGTGGCGGCTCGTCGGCCGAATCGCAGAATCACACACGATCATACGGAATCGTGAAGGCTGGAAAAGGCCTCCAAGATTATCGAGTCCAACCTTTGACAGATCTACACCTTGTCAACTATACCGTGGCACTGAGTGCCACGTCCAGTCGTTTCGTTATCACCTCCAAGGATGGCAACTCTACTACCTCCTTGGAAAGTTTCTTCCAATACCTGACAACCCTTTCCGTGAAGAAATTCTTACTGATGTCAACCTAAGCCTACCTTGGTGCAATTTGAGACTATGTCCTCTCATCCTGTCACTTGTTGCCTGGGAGAAGAGGCCAATCCCCACCTCACTACACCTTGAGCCTCCTTTTCTCCAGGCTAAACAAACCCAGCTCCCTCAGCTGCTCCTCATAAGGCCCACCACCAGCTCTGTTGCGCTTTTCTGGACTCCCTTCAGCACCTCAATGTCCTCCTTGCAGTGAGGGGCCCAGAACGAACGCAGCACTCGAGGTAAGGCTTAACCAATGCCAAGTACAGGGGGACAATCACTGCCCTGGTCCTGCTGGCCACGCTATTTCTGGGACAGACCAGGGTGCCATTGGCCTTCTTGGCCACCTGGGCACACTGCTGGCTTGTGTTCGCACACACACACAGCCACTGCCGACCAGCACCCCGGGTACTTTTCCACTGGGCACTTTCCAGCTACTCTTCCCTAAGCCCGTAGTGGGGTTGTTGTGACCTAAGTGCAGGATCCAGCACTTCAATTTATTAAACTGAGTCACTGAGAAAAGGCACTGAGAGTTTGTGAGGGTTTTTTCTTTGAGAGCACAGGTAATACTAGGAGATGTTTCCACCTTGTGTGTTCCAGTGGATGAGATTTTGTTCATTGCTGTGATATAGGGCTGTTTATAGCCATTCCTATTATAGTCATTCCTAAAATTCCAGAAAAATTCCTGTTGTGTGCAATATGACGTATTTACTATATACCTGCTTTTTCTGTGTTTGAATACAGATGAAGATGTTTCTTTCCTTAAAAAAGAGGCTATAGAAAGAGCCATAGCTTTCCTGGGATGGGGCTCAGATCCTGGTGCTGCCTGACAGGTTTCCTAGGTGTATGCCCTACGTTATAGTGACTCACCATGCTGGAAGGGCAAACAGGTCTGTGAAGTGGCCACTGAGTCCGTCGCAATTACTGCGAAGCTTGGAGTGACCACTTAAGACTGGAAAAACTCTGACTAATGATCCTGATGACTTTGCCTCTCATATAAAGGCAAAACCTTTCTATTGTAGCTCTACCCAAAGCACTGTAATATAGGTTTAAGTGAATGATTTTTATTTGTGCCACCATAATATACACAACTTTGCATTTCACATTAGTTAAAACGACATAATTGGAACTGAGATGGTCTAGGGGGTGAAAAATATTTAATTAATATTTTTTTATACCTCCATACTTCTTTCCCCCCCCGACTTGAATCAGTTGATCTAATGATAGGTCAACTTATTGTGATTGCAATGCACCGAAAGCAGGTTTTCAGGGTTGAATACGTCTTCATAGGGCATATCTTGTGTGTAGGAGGCCTGCGTTCAAATGAATGAGCACTGACTTGCCTCATACTTGTGCAAGAAAAAAGCAGCACAATTACTACAGAAATAATTATTTCAGAAAACAACGTTACATGTCACTACACGAGCAAACACAAAAATGATGAATGTATTACTGGAGAGCACCCTGTTAATTTAGAAGTTGTTGTATCTCAGTGACTAGAAACAATTGAAAGAAAAAGGGGGAAAGGGAAAAGGTATGCTCTGTATGGGCACATGTACATATTTTTTTTCCTCTGTAATGACAATACAACTTCAGATGTTTTATAAAAGTACTAAATTCAGCCCCCCCACCTCAAAACCCTAAACCCAAACACATTAAATAGTATTTCAAAAGCTCTGTACAACCCCACATTCTCTTGCCTAGCAGAGTGGCTATGTATTCTCCACAAAAAAGGTTATCCTAGAAGGTAGTTACAGCAATCATCTGCATTTTACTCTTTAACCCTTATGGTCACGATCACCCTCCCTTGTCTCTTTTGTTAAGTGAAGCTATTGTAAAATCAGCTTAGGTGTGTATTTACGCTGCAGTAGCTATTCTGCACTGACTCGCCTTGTGGATACATTTTCTACTCTAAAAATCCCTTTTTGTGGTTTAGCTCGATTCACCTCAGACTCAACCGCACAAATTCGCCCCTTGTGTGAAATAAAACTGTCTACGCAAGCAGGCCATTGCGGAATAGCTGTTACATAACAGATATTAAGCATTGTTACCACTTATAAACCAGGCTACATCAACCTGGATGTCATAATTTTAAAGTCAATCAGAGATGGGGCAGAGATGAAATAGAGGATGTCTTTGAGCTGGGAGATGGTTGAGGTGATTGTCAACAAACCATTGTTGCCTATCCAAATAGGAAATGTCATTCAGTTGAGCCTTACTTCACTGGACAGATCCTCAAGGTATTCTCCGACCAACTTCAGGCAAATTTGAGAAAGCAAAAACATTTCTTGCTCACCTAGTAGGATGAAAAATTAGTCCCATTTAATCCTTTTAGAAAGAAGAGGAAACTAAAAGTAAAAAAGGCTCATGGATACAAAGTCATTACCTCCCAAAATCATGTGTAAATTTGGACAAACTGTAAAAGTGAAACACCTGCCTTGTTCAGTGATAAAAATCATATTACCATCAATTTTAGTGAAGCCAAAAGTAATAGTTAAAATAGAAGACAAAACATCGAAGTCTCAAGGCTTTCTTTT